ATATATATATATATATAGTTTTAAGTTTGAGTATTTTGTTGTTTGCCTGGAGTTTAGCTTTAATGCTTGCTGATTCAGATGTTCTTCAGATTAGAGTTCACAAGCCATGATTAAACGAATGCCCGGGTGTACAAGGTCATGCTGTTCCTTATTTTAATACACGGTTGTAAAAACTTGCATACGTTTAGGAAAAGAAAGACCCTCCCTACCCTAGAAGCAAGCTAAACACTCTTGAGCTCCCCCTGATGATAAAACTAAACATGATTGGAATATGCCATGAAAGGATCTCTGTTATTGAACTGTACTATCACGCTGCAAAATATGTCAGCAATTTGAAGACAAAAAGGTAATATTTTACAAGCAGCAGGCTCTGTGTTGGTCTTTAAATATTTGGTATTAGTCTTTCGGATGGAACAGGATTTGAACACAATCATGTCTTTTCTTGGTATTCGGTGTAATCTCGAACATAATTATTTCTACAGCACTAAATAAATAATTGTGGTAGACTGTCCTGCAGGGCAGCGGCTCCCCTTTGCCCAAACAATGTCTGTGTGAACTGAACTCAAAGCCGCCTGTGTGAATATGTAATGACATTCTACAGAAATTAGAAGGGTGATAGAAGCAGGCCGGGATTCTGCCAACCGTACGGAGTCCTGAGACAATGGCGGACGGGTGTCCCAACAACGACTGCCGGACGTCTACCTCCCTTGGTACATAAAAGGGTAGAAAAAATTCAGGAAGAAGGCAACGATAGCTGCCATGGTGCCTAGCACGAAATATCGGATGCGGGCCTCCTCATTGCCCTCCGAGAGATGGAGGTCGGCGGGTTCGCGGCTGACGGGCGTTCTGGGTCTTCGCCGGGCGTCCAGGCGCTGCAGCTCCTCCTCTTCGGCCTCCATTGCCTGCCAGATCAGAGATGCCTGTGGTGTGTGGAAACCTGTGTCAGAGTCGGGGGGGCCACACATAGGAGCACAAAGCTGCTAGACACACAACATCTACTCAGGAGTTTCTGCTAAGCAAATACAAAAATCAGCTACGGTTTACTAATGCATTGAAGGGTAGAAATGCCCGATAATGTGGGACACCCCCGCTGCAACCAATCTGATTGGTTGACTCTTCTTACAAACAAGCCACACTTCCATGGATCTTCACAAGTAAAGCAACTTTTATTGATATAACAAATACATGTGAACCAAAACTCCCATGTGTCTAACACCTCCCACACGTTTTACCGATCTGGCTTAAAAGGAGAACTGTGAGGCGAGTGATGATTTCCACTCAACACCAGTTCGAGCCGAAGTGTGACAAAGAAACCATTACAGGCCGGCTCTATAGATCAGGAAGTGAGCGAACACATATCGTCGCTTGCTCACTTCGCGATCATCTCCCTGCAGAGAGCTGTGACTGTCAGTCACGGCCCCCCGCAGGGATTCCCCCAGCACTGATTGGAGGAATGGATGGGGGGAAGGGGCAGTCACAGCAGGCTCTGCCTCTACATAGGCAGAGCCAGCTGTCACTCACGCAGCTGGGTGGATCTCAACCGCATTGTCGGGATCCGTCCCGGCTGCGGCGATCTCGGTATATAGTGAGCAATAGCCCGCTATATACTGAGCTTTGGGTCATGGGAGGAGGTTAGTATGTATTAGTATGTATTTGATAGATCAATAAAAGTTTCTTTAACTTATGAAGATCCATGGAAGTGCAGCTTGTTTGTAAGAAGAATCATATGTTGGAGGCATGCCTGTTTTGCAACCGCGGAGTGATTGTTGCTTAGTGTGGCCTGGGAATTGGTGCGGTGGACTGTTTGCACAATCTGGTTGTTATGAGGCAACACAGAGAACCAAAACTTCCCTCAGGGCCAACACTGTGTAATATGATATGGAACTATCAACCATCCGGTGTGTTACAGCATTGTTGGAAGTGCTATGTCTGCTGGTTAAAGTCCGACGGAGCAGCCTGGACACATTCTTAGGCGGGCCCTAGGTCAGTGACATTCCTCTGATTTTTAGGGTACAAGGCAATCTGCGCCTCAGCAAAATAAAGGCTAATTTCACTTTTTTATTTTTAAATGTTGATTTAAATCAGAAATCATTGCTATCACTGTACACAGCTAAACAAGCAACATAAGCTGAACATTTAAATGACATTACACCTCCTACTGCACTTCATTTGTGTAGGAACAATTCCAAATAGTATAAGCCAATTAAATCATAACAAAAAACAAAAAAAGTATAATGAAGAAAATAAAAAAATGATATATAATCTATCTATATACAAAGTCGTCGGGGTCTTGTTAATCCAAAATTGGCATGACATGATACAAAAGGGCACTTTCGTATAACGTCATTACAATTTTGGATTAACAAATAAAAAAGGAGATTGAGTGCTGCAATATCCGGACTTTGTTACTATATGTAAGGAATTGTGGATGGATTCCGACAGCGGCTACAAAGAGCCTGGAGCACACGCGATTGAGATGATGATAGAGAGAGAGATAGAGAGAGAGATAGAGAGAGAGAGATAGAGAGAGAGAGATAGAGAGAGAGAGAGAGATAGAGAGAGAGAGAGAGATAGAGAGAGAGATAGAGAGAGAGAGATAGAGAGAGAGAGAGAGAGATAGATAGATAGATAGATAGATAGATAGGGTACTACACACATTTGCATACTATATGCAACAAAGGCATTCAAAAAAAATTACAAAAAAAAGGTCCGCCTTGTCCATTGATAGAAATGCCAATATGTTGCACAATTTAAATAATGATTTTAAGTGATTAGAACTAAAATGTTGAACAGATATTATGGTAACAGCATAAAACTTGCAGTTAAATAGTCTCCGCATAGCAGGGTACACTAGACATTTTGGCTTGTATCATGAATTAACTTCAATGATTACAAAATAATAAATGAAATACAATGTAAGATTCACTAGTACAGAACATAGGTAATGTACCCAGCCATGCACACAGACTCATTCTATAAAGCCATTCAGCAAAGTTTAATGTGCAGTAGCCTAAAGCAACCCATTAGAATTTGTCATTCTGCAGACTCCGGTAAAATTAAATTAACTCTAAAGCTGGCAATACACATTCTTGATCAAGCAGCCGAAACTCGCACAGTGGGTGCCTGCTGTTGGCACCCGTTCAACCAGCATCCTTCGATCAGCTGATCGAAGAAGCCAGTCGGATAATCTTCAAACAAACACAGCCTGCAGCCAATGAGCTACTGGCTCTGTTCAGGTATTGTGATAGCGGCCGCCTGCTGCTGTCAGAATACAAAACAAACAGTGGGAGATTCCATGATCAACGTTAAGCTTTGATGAAGGAATCTAATATTTTATTCAGCCCGCAGATTGAAGGAAGAAAATATTACGGTGTATGGGCAAGCTTAACTGGTTACTATGGATTTACTGTGCTTTTCATCTCATTAGTAGAAACATGTGATTCTTTAATAAAAAGATGGGTGTATAAAAGGCAATCTGCGAGAACTTCAGAAACCGCTGCATCAGCCTTCCCCATAGTTTATAAAGCCACCCTTTCCTAAACTCATCAACGCTAAGAACATGTACTTCTATCTGTTGGTGAGGATCTATTATAAAAGGGACAAACGAGGAGCAAGACACAGCAACCAATCAGCAACCACCTGACAACACTGACTGGTTGAAAAAGTTTGCTACAGAATCTTGAATAAAAGTAAAAAAAAATCAAATGAAGCTGAATGTAGGACACATCAGATGAGCAAATAACCTGCCAAATTAAAGCTGAATTTTAAACGGATTATATTTTGACTTCCTTAGTTCCTCCTCTTCAACTTGCTAATTTTTTTTTATAATAAAACCTTTCCATTTTCAATACATACCTTATTTTAAGTCCCGATTCAAGCAGTGGGCAGGCTCTTGGGTTGTGCAAATATCAAAATGCCTTGATATGTGGGTGTCAGTCTGGAGGGGTGGGCTTTCCTAAGCACCCTCAGCAATGCTAAGCCTCCATGATTGAAAAAAAACTAAAATGCAATGAATGGGGGCCAGGGACAGTTCCGCTGGGGAAAAAAAAGAGCTAAACTGATGCTGGAAGTCCACCAGCTAGGAAACAAGGTGGGGTCTGTCTTGCGGCAGCTTTTAATGCACATTGTGAGAAGCTCGCAGTGTGCAGTGAAATCAGAGTAAGCAATTTCATTCCAGGAGAAGAGCCGGTACAATTGTGCAAGACTGAAGGAAAGGCTGGTGTTCAGCTTTAAAGATGAATGCAGAAGAGTCCTACCGCACTCCTAACTGGTCTGTCCCTTGTGGTGGATGTTGTAGTGACTGCAGATGGTGCCGCTTCAGATACAAATAGTAAAGTATGTCACCAGCACACCTTGGTTCAATCTTCAAGCAGTGATCATTTTATTGGTGCACACACACAATGTTTTGGGGCCACTCAGGGTCCCTTCATCAGGCATGATGAAGGGACCCTGAGTGGCCCTGAAACGTTGCAATGTGACAAGATGTGTGTGCACCAATAAAATGATCACTGCTTGAAGATTGAACCATGGTGTGCTGGTGATATACTTTACTATTCAGCTTTAAAGATGAGCCGCAAACATAGCTGCAATAAGGATAGATGCCAGAATAATATCCACACCAAGAATACAGGAGGGGATCTGTATAAAATGTTGCAGCTCACTCATTCAAAATGGTTCTGTTTTCAAAATGGTTTCACTTGAATCATTAACCTTTTTACCGCCCTTCAAAAGAAACTGCGAGGACAGAAGTATGGCATTTGCCATTGCCGTCCTATTTTAATATGCGTGGCTCCGGGCCTGCTGTCCTGATCCTGCATCCAGTGCTTAGGGAGTCACCGACTAGAAACAAGTATGCAGGGCAGCAACTTCAGCTTTAGGACTTCAGTGGCTGCAGCCAAATTCAGCTATGTATAGCCAAGGTAGTCTCCATTTTTGCCATATCAGATCCCCAGACCCACACAGAATCTACAGTACCCTTTTTGCAACTATCTGCCAATTACCTGACTAGCAGCTCCATCAGCAGTTGCTCCCGTGTCAGCTCTGCGATTCACAGCGTGCCCCCGTACGGGTCTCTCCACAGGAGAGTTCCTCCTTCGATAAAAGAGTACATATGCGTATCGTGTCACCACTTGGCTCTCGTCCACCGAGGTCACAGTGCTGTCATCAAAAAGCCTCCACCCTAAAGAAAAACAAACGTGAAAGATAATCACAATCAAGCAGAATAGCACTAAAAACCTAAGGATTTATGAAAGCTTTGAAATTCTAAGGGCTATGTTTATAAAGGACCGGTAAGGTCTCACCAGTCATCTCTGTGCTTTACAACTGTGCTAAGCACTCTGCTAGCTTTCGAACCCCGGAGTACTATTAAAATGAATGAGTTTTAAAAAAAGGCAGGAAAGTCATGTCAATGTGATCTGTCCCACATTTTATAAACGAGCTGTTAAATGCAGGCCGCGGTGTGGACCAACACTACAGTATAGAGCGGATGGCGTTGTTTGCTCTGCCTTATACATGGGGTTGTAAGTCTCAAATGAGAAATTTGCACTTATGTGAAAACATTTTATGTTACACATATTTGCTAAACCGGTGGAACTCCAGAAAAAAAAAAAAATTGGCTGAATGGAAGAAAATAGGATTTGGTCCCATTGAGGGACACAGCTCTGAAGATTTCTGAGACCTAGGGTTATGCTGCTACCCCTACACATCAGAATTCTTTAGAGCTGCGTCCCTCAATGGACGATAAAAAAATGTAGATATGTATATATGGGGTAGACAAACTCGGAACTCCAGCTGTGGTGAGACAGCAAATTCCATCATCCCTTCACCCCTGGAAGTCATGCCTTCGGCTGTCAGTCTTGCCATGCCTCATGGGACCTGCCCAGGTTGCCAACCCCTGGTATACATGTACAATATTACCAGACAAAATATTTGTAGTTCCATTGCGTCTCTGGACTCAGAAAAGAGACCTTATTTCGGTGGAACAGCTGAGATAGCATTGGAATTCTTCACCTTTCTAAACGCAGTCACAAACTTTGATAGAACACCAGCATGCTGACTCCTATTGACATTCAAGACTTGAGCACGTTAACCATAAATGTATTTAAAATGGTTGTTCAGCCACTCATGTAGTGTTCCCCTGGAAGACTTCACTGTAAGAACTAGCAAAATTAAGAGCTGTGAGCTGCTAAATCCACAGACAAAAATACACATGAAAAACCTCTATTAGTCGACAGCAAATATTTAAAGAATGCTGGTAATATACAGGGACGTGTACTAATCACATCAGGCATCTTGGATTGAGCAACTGGTTCTTCAAAGTGTTACCAGCCACTAAATAATTCCCAAATCCTTGAAAACATGTTACTAAATCCCTCAGCTACTTATGTAACCCAAGATCCTTGTTTCACCTATGCCATATCAAAGGGAGTTCTCCCTGTTGTAAGAGAGCTACTGCTGTACATGAAGCTGCCGTATAGGGAGAAAGATGCAGCTGCATGAGACAATATTATTATACAGTGATAATTATTATATTAGAGAGACAGCTGAAAAGCCTGCTGCCATGTTATATGTTGTTCACAAGCAAGATTGGCATCCCAGCACACAGGGTGTTTAGGAGGACTCCCCATTTTTAGCCTGCAATGCTACTAAACTGCAAACTGATCTGTCGATTCATCCCACAGCCCAATACTCAATTCATGATTGCAGGCGGCACAGGGCACCAGACCTGCTGCAGGACAGTAACCAGAGCAGAATCATACAGAAACAGTGCAATATTCCAACACCTTCACTGGGCTCCGCAGGTTGAAAGGTCAAGGGAAAAAAAGAGAACGTGTGGATTTATTCACATATCAAGGTCCCTTTTATTCCATTGTGAAAGCACACTCTGTAGCAATGCATCATTCATGATGCCTGTGTTTATCAGTCAACAGCGAGCAGATTTGTTTCACCACGTATTGTTCAGTGTGATATGTCTCCATCTATAACCTTCCAGCCTCCAGGCAGAGTAAGCCATAGTGGTGTTACTTACCTACGTCACTCCGCTGGCTGTTTTTATCATTGGGGAGTCTGGCATATGCTGTGTAGTGTCCTCCTATCATGCCTCCATAATGATTGATGACTGCATAGAGGTCATAGATAGGCCTCTGGTGGTCTTCCTTTTGCCCAATGCAGAATGTTGTCAGGTCCAGTCCCCTGCAAACAGGAAGAGATTTTAACATTTCATTTATTAACTTCATAATAAATTTATTTAAAGCAGAAGCATCTTTTTTAATGCAAACACCTTTACATTGCGAATTAGAAATACTGCACGCACACTTGAAAGCAGAGATTAGGCCAATAAGTCATTTCAAACACACACTGCACACAGCTTCTCAATAAATCCAACCAATGTTTTATCGCACAAGCAGCTTGCAGAGACACTACTCCTCTATGCTCCTCTAATAAATTTCCATCCCCTAATGGGGAATAACTGCAGAACAAGAGTGACACAAGGCTTGGAGTGGCATGTAAGCCAAGAGATCATAGGGAATCTCAGATCCTACTTCCATGCCTGCACAGCTTCTGGGAAACCTACAGAGAAAATCACAACTATGCAATTCTGCATGCATTACTTTTAACTTGCAATTTCAGAATGTTTTTTTTTTCTTTTTTTTTTAAATATGTACAAATACAAAGTGACAACTAGTTCTGCTTTATGTACTTATTTAGGACATCTATTGGACGTGTAGTGCTGGCATTTTAATGAGTGGGAAGCAGCAGAAAACAAACCAAAATTTAAGGGCCAATTATAGTCACGTCAGGTCACAAAAGTCCAAAGTATTGGTGCTTGAATGGTTGCTTTTACCTTCCCCTCCAACTTTTTGGGGGATAATGAATGCCAGTCAGCTAGCCTGTGAAGCATGTTATATTAAATATGGCGTTAATAAGACAAATCTCAATCGTTAGGGCATATTCAGAAAGCTAGGTCAGCAAGAGCAACGTTCATATTCTTTCAGTACTGATTAACTTTACAAGTTTAACAAACCTGACAGATTTTTGCTAAAGGGACATAAACAAAGAAAAAGCAGGAAGAAGTCCGTTCACTACCTGACAGGGAAATCCACCAGGTCATTTATTTTGTCCCTCCAGATAAATGTTCGGAAGGAGAAACGTTTCAGCTGGATGATGAGGATGTTCGGAAGCCTCCACAGCATCAGCTGCTTTGAGGCCTCTCTGTGCTGATTACACTTAGGACAATACCTGGAAAAAGAGAGAAGCAAAAATTTAAGGTGGTCATTACAAACCTAGCGATCCCAATATGAGCGTCACTTGTAACTGGGCTCTGACCTCCCTAGGAGGCAACTACTGAGAATCATAGGCAGCCAAGAGACACTGGTCATCGCACATGCTGGAAAAGGGTCGCTGTGGAAAGGATCGATTTTTTTTACACCTCTTTGGAGAAGAGAAAATGATTGAAGCACCACAATTAAAAAAAAAAGTTATTTTGGCGCTTGCTCTGCCTGGGTGCAGGATAAATAAAATAAATAAATCCCTGAACAACTTGTTCCCGATTCCACCTTGAAATCCCCCCGACTCACATTTTTCCTCTGTTAGCTAGGAACATGGAAATTGGATTTAAGAGGGAGATCGGGAGGAAATCTGTGAACTTTCTGTCATTGATATGCTCTAGGTAGAATGAACCAAGTGCTCATGCTCAGCTCTGAGTACTTCTGGATTCAGGGCCGTCATATCCTGTTGGCAGCACTTGTAAACTTCAGCTGAGGGATTCGGTGTCCCCGATCTGCACTGGCTAAGGCAGAGGCAGCACTGGGATCTAACTGACCTTAAAAGGAGAACTATGAGGTGAGTGCTTTTCACTCACCTCAGTTCTAGCCGACCTGTGACAATGAGACTGTCACAGTTCGGCTCAGTAGATCGGGAGGTGAGCGAACACATACCGGCGTTCTCTCACCTCTCGATCCTGTCACAGCTCTCTGCCGTGACAGGGGAGGGGATGGATTCCCCCCTCCCCGCTCCGCCAGCGCTGACTGGGGAGGGGGTGGGTACAGCTGGCTCTGCCTCTAGATAGGCAGAGCCAGCTGTCAGTCACGCAGCTGGGCGGATGCCGGCACAATTGTCGGGATCCGCTTCAGCGTCTCAGTATACCGCGAGCTGCAGCCTAGGGTGACGGGAGGACGCTAGTTTGTGTCCTCCCGTTACCCTAAGGAGAACTATGGGGAAAAGCCATAACCCCATAGTTCTCCTTTAACTGCATTTTGGGCCCCACTGAGACCTGTGTTTTGTGGTAATGCAGTGTGCTTTTCCGCAAAGCATGGAATGTACAAAATTTAATATAGTGCATTTAGTTGCCGCAGAGAAGGACCCCTGCTCTGTGGGAAAGCAGTGGTCTCTCCGCAGAGGTCGGATGCACCCCCTGTTGAGTCACACCTATAGCTGGAAGCATGAGCTTTGCTGACTGCAAAGTTACATGTATGACTGCAGTATGCTGGCAGGGGACAAGATTTTCTACTTAAGCTGTAAAGCTGCTTTCTAAAGAAAGCTAAGACTTTGCGCCTCTTTAGTTTTGATGCCCCTGGAATGTATTTAGCGGATTTAAAACTGAAATTTCAGTGGGGTTTTAGGATAAATGATGGTCAAAGACATTCTAACATGGGAACTCTGCATCATACTCACCAGGCTTCCTCTGGGGCCAAGACTTCCGGCTTAGTGAATAGGTTTAGACATTGCTCCAAGGTGAACAGACCAACTCTAGCAGCTTCACTGGCAGATGATGGATCCTCATCACATTCCAGATCCTTCGATTCCACCAGCACAAACTCCTTCATGCGCTCATTGTTCTTCCAAACCAGTGCCAGCTCGCTGTTCTCAGACAGGTCCAGGACAGAGTCACCTGGGGAAATGAGAGGTATGAAAAGTGCATGTGGAGACAGTGTGCAAGGCATTTGGCATACAAATGGAATGATGTTGGAATTCAGCTTTACCGTAGTGATCTTTAAAAGGAGAACTATGGGGCAACCTTTTCTGCCCATAGTTCTCCTCTGGGTCCCAGGAGGACATATACTGTGTCCTCCCATGACCCAAAACTCAGTATATAGTAGGCTATTGCCCGTTATATTCTGAGAGCGCCGCAGCTGGGACAGATCCAGACAATACTGTCAGGATCCCCCCTGCTGGCTGATGACAGCGTGCTCTGCCTATCCAGAGGCAGAGCCAGCTATGCCCGCCCCGCACCTGTCCGTCCCTCCGTTCAGCGCTAGAGAATCGGAGAGGGGGGTTAGGGGGGGATTGGAAAGTGAGCGGATCGCTGATATGTTTTCGCTCACTTCCCAATCAATAGAGCCAATGTGTGACGGTTTCAATGTCGGCTCCATCTCCGATGGGGATGAGTGTTAATCATTCACCTCACACTTCTCCTTTAACTCTTTGCTGACAAAACCATTTTTTCACATAGTTAAGGTGCATATTATAGGCCTGAAGGTTACTTAAAACCCCAAAAATGTTATAAATTATCTGAAAGCGGAGACCCTGTAGAATAAACTGGTGGTAATTGCAGTTTATGTCACAAGATAACTGCACTTCTGTTTATCAAATCTGTAACTTCACTTAAAAAAAATTAGTCAATTTATTTTAGCAAACACAGAATATGAATTTGTTGGTAAAATCTAAATGTGAGGTTGTTTCGATTAAATAGATACCAAATATATGTCAAGCCTCACAATAGTGCACCACCGCGAAATGGCAAAAAAACTACAGTACCCAAAATTGCCCAAAAGTGATGCTTTAAAAGCCTTTACAGGCCATTAATTTAGAGTAGGGATGCACGGATACAGGTATTTCAGTATGGAGTACCGATTTTTCACTTGTAACGAGGGAGCATGAAGCCGGCTTTCCGGCCAATCAGGAAACCGGGCAGCGTGTAATGACGTGCTGTCCGGCTTCCTGATACAGGAAGTATGGGGCTAGGCATCGGAGCATTTGTGCGAGTACGAGTACTCTCCCAAATACTCGGCATCGATACTAGTATCAGTAGATCCCTAATTGAGAGTGAACAGCGGACAATGGCCCTAAAAATGTTGTTCTTCCTCCGGCATGTGCACTGATGCCTCATATGTGTAACAAAATCATGTTTTCCTATGAACGTGATATGTTGGGGTAGCTTTTAATTACTTAGTAGGTTTTTTTTTTTTTTTAATGAACTTGAATTCATATTCCATGTTTCATGTTCCATATGAGATAACATATTGCAGGTGACAGATTATCTTTAAGAGGACGTCAGCAGTCTATTATATCCCTAATGTCAACTCTTCCTTCTCCAATATGTCGAAGTGTTTGGGAGAAGTGATCGGCAATGTTTCTGTTTAAGCGGAGTCTGGTGAGCACCTCCCAGCATCCCCAACGATTAGAGAGTTCTGTGTGCTGCAATTCCTATAACTTAGACCAGAACAAACCTTTGTCCTCCAGCTTCACCTCTCTTCCCGAGGCGTCAATATGGTAGATGAAAAACAGAGCAGCGTGGGAACTTGTGAGCTCAACTGACTGTTGGTAACCAGGAACAGCAGCTGGAAAGAAACATTTAAAAACATTAATATTTTCAGAATCATTAAACAAGCACAAAAGACATACCGTATTTGCCGGCGTATAAGGCGACTAGGTGTATAAGACGACCCCCTCATTTTCCACTTAAAACATAGGTTTTGGGCTATACTCGTCATATAGACTACCCCACTTCTGAGGAAACACCATTTTAAAACATCATGGATGGATGTGCGGTAATACTGTATGTACGGTAGCTTCAGCTACATACAGTATACCGTGCTGAGCCAATCACGGCGACCAATGTATTCTATTAATGAATACAAAGCCTGCAGAGGTTGTGTACATCGCTCAGCCGGGATTGGCTCAGCTACTGCTGTATGTAGCCGAAGCTACCGTACATACAGTATTAATGCACATCCAGCGGGCTGACAGATTAGGGATGTTCGTTTTGGGCCAGCTTGGCCCAAACGAACTAAAGGTATACATTGTATACCCCACGTACAAGACTACCCCTTATTTTCGGGGGATGTTTTTAGGTATAAAAAGTAGTCTAATACGCCAGCAAATACAGTATTACAAACAGCTCCCATATGCAACAACCAATACAGTGATGAACAAAAACTTTATAGCCCCCTTCAAGTGCACACATGCCATCTCTCTTTGCTTACCCATTCATTAAAAAGTATTTGTCTGCACAAAGAAAAAAAATGCAGTATCTCTCTCCAATACAGGCTACTGCTGCTCTTCCAGAAATCTAGCGTGCTCCTTATTTCCTGTTTGGGCTGACAGTGCTGCCTTTGCTACGGTGACCTCCAAATTAGCATTTTCAGCCCTGCCTGATTAACTATAGAACCCTGCGCTTGGCCCCCGACCCTCTTCGCATACTTCAATTTCTTTCCCAGAAAAATAATGCTGCTCCCTTGACTTCCAAAAGCCTGTCCAAACAACGTGCAGGGAAAGAGTTCTTGAGATATGTAGTTTTGGGGGTGTGGCTCTGTTTGCCCAATGGGAGATTTCCTCCCACTTCCTGTCTCTTATAGCGATGCCCAGGACAAAAAGGTTACGTGCTGTGGATTTCTTAGCACTTTGGAGAGAGTTTACCAGGACAGGAAGTAAGCAGACATCTCTCAAGGTGTATGTTGAGTGGAAGGATTAAGATGTTTTAATGCCATTTCCCCTAAATTCCCACCTCAGCGACCCAGGACAGGGCGGGTAAAAAAAAAAAAAATTGCCCAAAAGGGACACAGACCTCAAAACACATGGCTAACGTTCACATTTTCTCAAAATGAGATGATGCCGCATTTTACAAGCCACACAATACAAACCTTCGGGTTTAATAGCTTTTTCATAAGAGGTTTCTTTTTCTCCCCCAGAATCTAATTCCCTTAAAGAGTCTGTTGCTTGCTCAGAAAACCCAGAGTCCGTGCTGACAAAAGAGTGCCGGTCTGTACACATCTTCCCTTGCGCACTGCCATCTCCTGCCTCTGGTGTGTGGCAGGGAGAAGATCCCAGGGAAAGCAACCCTGAGACTCTGTCATCCTCTTGTGGCTCTCCCTGGTATGTGCTGCTAGACTGCACCATTGAAGACTCGGCCTTGGCTGCACTTAGTGGTTGTGGAGGCTGTTCAGAGGACATTCTGCCTGGGAGGAATGGAGGCTGGAACACGTTTACTGAATACCTAGAGGAGGCAAAAACACACACACACTGCTTTAGGGATGGCGATAAACAAGTTTCTAAGCCTTACATCTGGCTTGTCTTAAATTATTCTTTTTAATCCTATAATAGTACATCAATCACAGCATTAAATAGCGGCACACTATTACGTGCAGGCTCAAGGGCCCTCTGCAAATAAAAAAACATTGTTCTAAATCAGGTCTCTATCTTGCAGCTACTGGTTCCAGGTTGTTGATGGGGACCCTAAGTTGTGATCATCTCCCATAATGCAGTGCTCAGGAGTGAGGTCAAATCACCAGGCCTGAGTACTGTTATGTGTGGGAGGATAACATGATTGAAAAAACTGAAATCCAATGAATGAAAGGGGCAGGCCAGATCAGTCAGGCTGGGTAGCAAAAGTGCTAGATGGTGGTGGACATGATCCATCCAGGAAACAAGGTGGGTTTTATCTGACGTGTTTCAGCTTCTTATGTAAACTGTGGAAAGTTCACAGTGTGCAGTGAGGTCAAAGTAATCAAATTCAGTACAGGAAAGGAGCCTGTACAACTGTGCAAGCCTGAAGGGCAGGGTTGGCGTTCAGAATTAACGTTACTATTACTTTAACAGAATAGGTGAGAACCTCTGAGTACAATTAAAGACAAATTACCTTGCATAACCCTCGAGGAGCTGTGCCAGGCGGGCATAAGTCAGGCGAGACTCAGGGACGCTGATTAAAAACGGATACCCAATATTTTCAGGTCGGCAGGCAGTTTTGTGTTCGGGCCAGTGAGTTTTCTGGCAGAGCCTAGAAAGACAGAAAAGATCAATTCCAAGAAAAAAAACCGCAACATGATGTGCAACGGTTTTTCCATATTGGTAATCTCTATGATCAGGAAAAGAGGCAAGCACACTCACTGGTTGCAATATCCAACCCGATAGCACCTAGTACACCGCTTTAATTTCTCCTCTTCGGACAGCTGTTTCTTCTGACATGAAGAACATTTGGTAATTGGGATGCTGGGAATCTGGGGACGCTGCACAGAATAGATGGACAAATATTAAACATGCGCTAATATATAATGCATCACCACTTTTTTATTTATATATACACGTTTTTTAGCTTAATTTGTTTCCAAAATGGTAAACCTAACGTCACATACAATTTGTAAGCCCTAGTGGTACAATTAACTTCTACATAACAATAATGTGAGGGTTACCATTAAAGTGTATCATAGGACTGCAAGTGAAGCAGCATGGAGCCTGCGACATACTGTACAGAGTACATGACAGGGTACAAAAAAAAGACCACCATTAGTCTGTACCCGTAGTGGGCACAGACTGAAAAGGTTGCTCAAAGACAGTGACCAATCGAGTCAGAGGGATTGATAGAACACCGACAGAAGAGGGGGCACGGGGGAGCAGAGAAGCAAATGAGACAGGCAGAGGAGGAGGAGAAGGAACGGGAAGCAGCGGAGGTCCAGGGAGGGGGATACAGTCACTGCATTCTATTCTTCACGCTGGTGCCAGCTGTAGTGGTCTGTGTCCCTGCTGCCTCTGCCGATACAGGTGGGGAGAGTAGCTGGGATTGAAAGGGATACAGACCGCTGCAGCCAGAACCAGCAGGGGATTCAACTAATCAAAAATAAACTAAAATCGATGAGAATCGTTGACAAGGATTCTCATCATCGATAATTGATTTTATTGATTAGCTGTTTCAGCCCTAGTGTATAGAGTGTAGCAGTCTGGAGTCTGTCACATACAGCAAAGTGTACAGAGTGTGTAGTTTGAAGAACGTAAAAAAGCAGAACCTAGTAAACAGAGAGCTCTGCTCATTTTAAACTCATGTGAGAAGGTGAGGGTAGGTGGCTACGCAGACTCACTTTCTGGGTTTTTCCTTCTATACAGCTATGGCATGAATATTTTACATACATCACTTGCAGGTAGTAGGGATCAAACAGTGCTTGTTTTTGCTACTCAGACAACGGCTCTGCTGTAAAAGATAGTGAGGCTGGATTCTACACCCAGCTGACTGAAGTTAGAGGAGGGACACAACTCCCCTTCTTCAGGTGGGTTATAGCGAGCTTGATGTATTATCAATTATAAGCAGTCAACAAGTGTGCAGGCAATTTAGAACTCTCATATTAAAAATTAAAGTACCATAATTATAATCAGCAGCATAGATGAACTGATGGTGGAGAAATGTTGTGCCTTGCATGGTCTGCAAAAGATGCGCTGTGCTCATGTTTACCTGAACTTCAGACACACGAGTTTAAGCAATCATGCAGGCTTTGGATGACCAGCTTTCTCTTGCTAGTCTCATGAGTAGTACTGAACGGTAGAGAGGAGTAAAGGGAGACTTGCTGATGTAACAGCAAGTGAAAAAAAGATGAGGCCACTGCTGGAAGCAAAGCAACGGACTGAAAATCTTTGTTGGTTGCTAACTAAAATTAAAAAAAAATGATAACCATGTATAGAGGTAAAAAGAAAAGGAGGGTGAAGAGCTCATGTTTTCCTCTCGTCCAGTGTGGTGCTTTTGTAAGACCCCAATGCACTTGAAGTACTTCAATATCCATTCTTAAAAGTGAGAACATCACAGGGAAGCTGTGAAACTATGGCATACCTGCTGGACCTGCAGCACAAGGACGTGCTCCTTGGCAAGTTCGGGGGACAGAACTTCGAAACACAGGAGTACATCTGACGGAGAGACAGAGTCCACAGAGCAAGACGGCCTGAACATGCGGTGGAAGCGATGTTTCGCTACCTGGGGGAAGGGCAAAAGATCTGTTATAATACATGTAACAGGTGTGCAACAAAGTCATTCCTCACACATGTAACAGGTGTGCAACAAAGTCATTCCTCAAAGTGCTTTGTGCTCATATTATAATAATGTTTTTTTTTTAAAGTTTAAGTCAACTACAGTGTATATTCATTTTATTTATTACAATATATTGTTTTATCTTAATCTTGGCAATCTACTTTAAAATCATTTATACTTTTTTTTTTAACCTGTTTCATTGTTACAAAAATATACTGCAGAAGCTTCTTTTGCAATCAACTGGCCACATAAGTTGCAATCTGAATGTACAACTCCCTCCAGGTTCGCCAACAACAATTGTGTGTGAAAGACTACCTAAACAAGCCATTTCAGTTATAACTACTCAGGAAAGTCCTGCTGCATTGACCTTAGTAAAGCCAAATAAGATATACTGTGTATGGCCAACTTTAGATTATGTACACACTATTGGACTTACCTCTGCTAATCTCAGGTTTTCCATCTTAACTCTTACGCTCTGAGAGATGGACTCGAGGACATCTGAAGCGATGGAGTTCTCTTTACTGATACTGACCAAAAACTGTACAGGAGTAGGAAAGGAAGAGGTTAGATGGTGCCATGGACTTGGTTAAGTATATATTTAATGCATTTGGCACATATATGGGAGCCAGTATTTGTAAGAACATAGTTCAATAATCACTTCTGACATCAATGCCAAATGTCAGGGGTGTATGGTTATGAAATGGCTGAATATATAACATTTCATACACGCAATGATTGTCCACTTTAATTCCACAACACAGTGTTTATGAGAAGTCTCACCTTAATGGGTTTCTTGTGCGGCTCTTTTGCAAAATAGTAGACGGTGAGGACCTTCTGCTTCTGGGGTAAGGGCACCGGTAGGTACAAGAAGGGATCAAATGTAATAGACACCTGTTGTTTAATAGGAAACAAGTTTTGTCAGGAATTCATAGGCCTTTTAAACTATCAACGTATAATGACTCTGCACATATATTGTATATCAGATTGCCTGGCTAGATTTAATTTAGTTTGCTATCTGTACTAAAAATATTACAAACATTTATTGAGACAAGTTATTGATGTCTAAATCAACTAAAGCAGCATCAGTGTGCAACAGTTAAACTAAATTTATGATTTACATTGTACAATCATTTAAAGGAATTTGCTACACTGATTTAATTGTGTGTATGTGTATATATA